AGACAGATAGATATTCAGGTAGCCAAAGAGTTAAAACGCACAAGAACAGACCCTTTAGTCCAACCAGTCCATGCCGACCATAATCCCAAACTCAACTCGACGTACCTGCCTGTGCTTGGCTTATATCCTTTAAAACATTCCTGATTCATATACTTATGCAAGTGACTTTTCAAAGTTGCAACTCTACCAGTATGCAACACTTCCTTTGGAAGTTCAATGCACACACGAACCATTTTCTGCGTGAAAAAGTTGTCTCTCGGGATTTTTTGAAAAATATTTTCTCCTCTCACCTTTAAAATAAGCCCCAAGCCTTGTAATTTCCCCGTCCCAGGGAAAAGACACCTGCCGTTAACCTTATCTATACCCCTCACGATTTTATGAACTTTTATAAAGACAGCATTTAACCGCCTATGCTCTCACGGAAGAAGTCCCAGTTTATCCAGTCTTTCCTTATAACGAAAGCCCTCCAATCCGAGCAAAATCCTGGAAAATATTTTCTCAACCCTCTCCACTAAATAATATCTCTTCTATAACAAGGAGACCACAACAGGACATATTAGCCCGGAAGCGGCCTCGACAACGTCCTGTACAACCTCCACATGACTTCCCAGCTCCTGTACTCAAAAAGACTGAGCAATGAAGGCAAGCTTGCTACACACCTTCTTAACCATTCTCTGATGCAAACGTCAATGTATTACGATCCTTAACCACAAGGTCTCTCTGTTCTATTGAACTCCATCTGCACTCTTAAGCCCATTGATCTTATTGACGAAGATCTCTTTGAAATCTTAAATAACGTTATTCATTGTCCATTAAATCAGCAATTTTGATATCAACCATCCACATGTTAACCATGCCTTCTAGTATATCATTGAAATCTTTCACATAAATGGTAAACAAAAGTGCACCCAGCACTGATCCCTGTGAAACATCAATGGTAACAAGCGACCAGTCCAAAAAGGAACCCTCCACCATCACTGTCTGTCACTTGCCGTTAAGCTAATTGTGCATCCAATTGGCAAGTTCACCCTGAATGCCATGTGACCTAGTTTGAAGAATAGAAAAAGAGACAGACAAAAAAGATTGAATGGATGCATGAACGGCCCGATGGAATGACTTATCGATTTCTGGATTTATCTGAAAATGAGATGGTCTTCTAAATTCTAAATTTTGCTTGCCGGCTTCTTTACTCGAGGCAAGACAATCATTCAAAATGTGTCAGCTTATGACCTTCTGTTCTTCCCCAGTCCCATTAAAATTAAAATACCGCACGTACCCAGAAATGACAAAATGAACTTCAGCAATAGCAACTTGAATATACACCAATGGTACTCATGATTGTTCTTTGCTGATTGTAAATCTTCATCTCAAAGACACGAAACGGGGACTTTCCTGGATTCAGAGGAATCATCAATATTTCGAATGTGTGCCTCCATTACAGAACAATCAACATTTCTTCACCGAGTTTACCTCAATCACAGCAAAAGTAGATGCCTATTACACATGTGCTATGTTACTGTGATAAGCGAGCAATTAAATTGCCCCTTTTCATACAGTTGCTCCTCTGTTTGGAGATTTGGTGAGCATAGTGAGACTGTTAAAGTGATGGGGAATGCCTCCAACAATGCATCAAC